ATACCTGCGGCTTCACTCTCGAGGTGGGGGGCAGTGGCAGGGAGGCTGGTGCAGGCCCAAGACGCAGTACCAGCCCATCAGTCAGGGCTTCCCTGCAGGCCTCTCCCCTTCCCCAGGGCAGGGAGCCAGGGTGGCCCTGTCACCCATCCCAGCTGGACTCTGAGGCCCCACAGCAAGGCAGGTGGCCCGGCCGAGAGGCGCTTGGTGGTTCCTCTTACCTGGAGGGCCGGGCCAGGGTGGGCAGGATCTAGTGGATGCAGGGGAGGGACCAATCCGGGTGCGGAGACTGCTCTTTCTGAGCTGCAGCATCTGCACTGCAAAAATCCTGCATATTTCCTCTTATTTGAAAAATCTTGCCTGGACAGAGGGCGGAGGATCAAAAAAGAGGCCATGTTGGAGGAAATCCTGGATGTATGGTAACCCTAATACAGTTCTACTGGTGCAAGTCCTCGTGTGGACTCAGTTGTACCAGGATAGACTTGCCTTTTATCACGGTAGATAATTCCCCTCCCTGGATGGAGGCAGTGTGGCCTGGGGGGATAGAGTACTCCAGAGACCTGGGTTCTAATCCCGGCTTGGCTCCTAGCCTGCTGGGTGACCTTGGGCAAGTTAGTGCCCCTCAGTTTCTTCATCTGTAAAATGGGGATAATAATTCCGCCCTTCTTTGCAAAGAGCTTTGAGACCTGCTGATGGAAAAATGCTGTAGAAGAGCTAGCGAATATTGTTATACCCTATTTCTATGACCACACGCCAGTTGTACCTCTCTGACTAAGCCGGGGTATCATAGAATCATAGAATATAAGGGTTGGAAGGGACCCCAGAAGGTCATCTAGTCCAACCCCCTGCTAGTTAAATTGGGTCAGCTTTTGTCTTTAGACAAAGCATGCGCGATCTCCTGATTTTAGGGCCCAACTCGTGATTTTGAATGCTTGGGCTGGTGACGCTGTGTGTGTGTTTTAAATCCTTCCTCCACACTTTGCCTCAGCTGGGGCAGTTTTATCAGAGCAAGTCAACACTTCAAAACTAAGTTGAGTTCAATCCTTGAGGGGGTCATTTAGGGATCTGGGGCAAAAAAAATTAAAAAAAATAAATAAATTGGGGATTGGTCCTGCTTTGAGCAGGGGGTTGGACTAGATGATCTCCTGAGGTCCCTTCCAACTCCGATAGTCTATGAGTCTATGAGACCTCGGTTACGGCGACATACAGCCACCTGCAGTTACTAAATCGCTTCCGCACGCCCACACGACGCTTCTTGTCTCACCAGGCGTGCTTGCACCGACTGAACTGCCAGCGTGGGGCACTGCGGGCCGGCTTCTGAAAGGCAGCAAGAATCGATGTAATTTCAGCGCAGACACTGCATTGCTCACATCGGCCTACGCGCTACGCCTCTCGCAGAGGAGGTGTTAAGCCCGTGTCGTGGGCAAGTTAAATCGGTGGGAGCGACATTTCAGTATAGACACTTGCAGAGTTCGGTTGGTGTAAGCTGCCTCGGGTTGACCTAACTCTAGAGTGTCGACCGAGCCTTAGACTAGTTAGTTACACGGTGTGGTTCTGAGTTTCGTTCGGCGCTCGGGTTCTCGCAGCTGCACCGCGGGGCCTGCCGTTGCGGAAAAGGGAAATTTTCCTGTTTCTACTGTAACGTTAAAGGGGAAAACGCTGTTCTTATGAACAGGGGGGCAGATTGTCTAAAGGCCTTTAGACACCTAAAGACGCAGGTAGACACCAGGTGGGGTTTTCAGAAGTGCCCATGAGAGTTAGGTACTTAGGTGCTTCTGACAGTTTTGCTGGGGCCTGCCGGCATCATTAGATGCCTAAATAATATTGGTTAAAAGGTGCAGCCAGTCGTCTGCCTCCGCTCGTGTAGGGTGGATTGATTTGAAATCATCAAGCGGAACGCTGCATTTAAATCCTCGATTTAACCATCTCAGCCATTCGCAGTGCCTTTATTTTCTAAACAAAGGGACTTTCTCATTGCTTGATAGAACCATTTAAAAACATTGATTTACAGTGAACTAGAGCAAAAGATGGGGGCAAAAGATCTATCTGGCTTTAAGATTAAACTCGATAAGTTTATGGAGGAGATGGTATGATGGGATAACATGGTTTTGGTAATTAAATATTCATGGTAAATAGGCCCAATGGCTTGTGATGGGATATTAGATGGGGTGGGATCTGAGTTACCCAGGAAAGAATTTTCTGTAGTATCTGGCTGGTGAATCTTGCCCATATTCTCAGGGTTTAGCTGATCGCCATATTTGGGGTCGGGAAGGAATTTTCCTCCAGGGCAGATTGGAAGAGATCCTGGAGGTTTTTCGCCTTCCTCTGTAGCATGGGGCACGGGTCAGTTGCCGGAGGATTCTCCTGCTCCTTGAAGTTTTTCAACCACGATTTGAGGACTTCAATAGCTCAGACATAGGAGAGAGGTCTTTCGCAGGAGTGGTGGGTGAAATTCTGTGGCCTGCGTTGTGCAGGAGGTCACACTAGATGATCGTAATGGTCCCTTCTGACCTAAATATCTAAAATATCTATGAAAGGGCCTTTATACTAGATTTGGTACATCTATCTAGGAGGGTACACTGTACCCATATGTAGTTATTTAAGCAATTATGTAGCTTCGTATTTTCAGGTTCTTCTTAGTTTTAGTATGTTGGAAAGTGGTGAGTGATCTTGCTTATTTGCTAGATAATTTTATTTTTGCTCATGATTTGTCAAACTGCATTAGGGTGGTAACTGGAATGAAATTAAACACGCGCAATGGCAGATACAATTTATTTGTATTAAATTAAACAAGTCCTTAATACAGTACGTGACCTATCGTGCCATATTTATAAAGCTTGACCTCAAAAGTTAAACGTTTTTTCCCTTGATTCTTTCTTTATATGGAAAAGCAGCCTCTAACTCAGTAATTTTAATAGAAGCTTGTGGATTCAGCATATTTAATTTTTGTATTTAAATGTTTTAAGAGATTATAAATTTAGGCGTTAACATATATTTTTGCATTCAGTTCAGATTTTGTTTCTTAAAAAAAAGAAAACCTTGTAATTGCAATGAATAAAAATCAGATTATTTTTATTTCCCCCCCCCCCAAATCATTTTTTTTAATCCACCCTGCACTCAAGGTTTGTTATTATTTGGTCAAGAGCCCAAATAACCAAACTTGGCTCGATTTATTGTCTAAGGACAAAGTAGTACAATACGAAAAGAAGTGTATTCACCTCACGCAGAAGGTGTGCTTCAAAGATTTGCATTTCAGCCCGTAGTATTTACAGTCTGATTTTACAAGTTACAAAACTCTGTATCCATCGCTAAAATCCACCCACTGGTTTGGAACAGTTCCGTACCTTGGTGGTGTTCTGCACTTGGCTTATGTCTGGTTTGGATCCTATCTGGCAGAAGAGCTGGGCGTGGAGGTAAATCCTGCCCCGTGCTGGGACACACGGTTCACGTGTCTTGGCTTTGACAGGGTTCCTATTTTTAAAGCCAAATCCTGCCTCCGCTTTGCAGCGTATGGTGGGATTCTTTACATGGGTGAACCGAATTGTGGGGAGAGCGTAATGGATAACTTCCCAATACTTACATGCATGTATAATGTATGTTAATACCATGTGCATAATGCCCATTAACATGGTGTATACTATGCCTAATATATATATGGCTAACAATACCTTTGATGCTCTAGCCAGTTGTCTGTGTTGCCATTAAGTTTTGGGAATGTTTTCCTGGCGGAGAAGCGGGGGCTAGCAAACTTTGAGTCGAAGGTAGCTCCTTCTGTAGAATGTAATTCCTCTTCCCCCATCCACAGATCTGGTTGAATGAAATGTTTTCCTGACAAAATGTAGGGGAGTGGGTGAAATTGGTGTGCTTTGGTTTGGTTTAGTTGGTTGGTTTGTAAAATTGTAAAATTTTAGTGACTTTTCCCACAGGACAATTCAAAGTAACTATTTTCAGAAATGTTGACTCTTCCCTTCCCTACCCCTCCTCACCCCACCATTTCAGGGTTGAACTTTTTCATTGTGCGGAAATTTGATTCCCTTCCCCCAAAACGAAAGAATCGGAGTTTCCCGCGGGATGGAAGTACCCTTGTCCGGACAGCTCTGAGTATATGTCCTCTTATTCCCCTGGCACAGATCAGCCAGGTGTGTTTTTGTGGAGCAGGTGACCTGGGATTTTGGGCGGGGGAGTTGTCTGCCCCATTGGAGACGTTGGCAGCTTGATTTTTCTAAGCTGATGAGTTCTAGCAGCTCCTGTCTGGTTTGAGAGACTGGGAAGGAGCTCTCTTTAAACGTCTGTATTGTTCTCCTTTGCCGTCCCCCTGCCAGCATGCCCAGCCCATCTTACTGACCATCTTTCCCTGATTGTTTCCTCATGTGCTATCATCTGCGTCTCCCCAGCTGTCGTCTCCTGTCTTATACTTCGATTGGAAGCTCTCTGGGGCAGGGATCATCCTTTTTGTTCTCTGTTTGTACAGCGCCTGGCACAGTGGCAGCCGGGTTTGTGACTGGGGTTCCTAGGTGCTACCATAAGACATTTGAACTGCTATTAGGTGAATTATGGTAGCACCTAGGCATCCAAGGATGGACCAGGATCCCATGGTTCAAGCACTACTGTAATACGCCTAATAGCAATACAAATGTACAGCGCCTAGAACCCTGCTCCATCCCTGGGGCACCTAGGTACTACCACAGTCCATATGATCATTTTAATGGAAGCTGGGTACATAATTCCCCGAGTCCGCTTGATTCAGCCAAGGTCACGCAGCGAGCTGGGAGGAGAACCCAGCAGGTCCTGGCTCCCTGTTCCGGGCTCCAACCACTGGATCCTGCCGCTGGTTCCAGGCTCCCTGCTCGGTTCTGATTTCCCCTTTTAACCAGGCAAACGGGGGCCACGGGCCGTGACCTCACGATGCTGCCCACATATCGCCTCCTGATGGTCAGGATTTACCCCCACTCCCCCCCATCACTCATGCTGGTTTTTTTTTTCTCTCTCTGTCTCTCTTGCAGTAAGAAATCGGAGCCGATCTTCTCCCGTGCCCCTGCTGGGTACCCCAAAGACGGCCCCTATCGCCCTATTTATATTATCCCGGACCAGACAGAGCCGTGCATCTTTGCCACCGAGGTAATGAAGATACGCGGTGCGCTTGCGACCTCCCCTCTCCCGCTTGTTCCTCGCCACCCCTGCCACTCCCTAACCCAGCCAGCCCTGCAAACCCATAGCGCGCGCTTCCTGCCACCCCAGCCCCACCCCGAGCCGCATGCCCGCTCCTCTGGGGTGGTGGGGGTAACATGCATGACCCCAAGGTGCATGAAGCTAAGACCAGTGGGTGGGTGTATGTGTGTGGGGTGGGTGATTGCAATGGGTAGGAACTGCCAGCAGTGTCTACCCATGGGGGAGGCGGGGGGCTGTTGAGTCAGCTTTGAGCGGCTGCATGGCATGCTGGCAGCAGCGCCCCCTGCGGGCGGCCAAGTATAAGCTCATCACTTTCCTTTCCAGGTGTTTTTCGGGCAGAACGCAAAGCCGGCTGCTTTTGCTGAATCCCATGGGTCGGGTTGGGATGGCTTGGAGCAGCTGCAGCAGCAGAGCTGTGGTACCTGGGGCATTATACCCCCTTAATGCCCCTGGGGGGCGCTGTGGGGAGCGAGCGCTCGCCTGGAGCAGGTGCAGAACTGGAGTTATGGTACCTGGGGTGTTATGTCCCCTCATGCCCCAAGGGGGCGCTGTGGGGAGCGAGCGCTCGCCTGGAGCAGGTGCAGAACTGGAGTTATGGTACCTGGGGTGTTATGTCCCCTCATGCCCCAAGGGGGCGCTGTGGGGAGCGAGCGCTCGCCTGGAGCAGGTGCAAGGGTGGAGCTATTGTAGCTGGGGGCATTATATCCTCATATTGCCCCCAGGGGCCCTGTGGGGAGTGAGCACTCGCCAGCACCAGTCGAGCCCATGTTTAGTGTTGGTAACCTCCCCTTTGGGGTGTTGGGCCCTGGGGAGGGGCCAGCGTGTGTAGGAAGTCTGCCTTCACCCCAAGTCTGTATTCCCCACCCCACAGGGTCAGGTCTCTGTCCCTATCACGCTAAGAGCTTCCAGTGTGTGAGCCAGCCTCTCCCCCACCTCTTCCCCCCATCGCTTGGCGTCTGGGCTGCTTTGCTACCCTTCTCCCACCCGGAATGCTAGGCTCGCTCAACCCAGACGGCCTGCACACACCCTTAAAACACCCCCATGGGTGCACTGCAGGAAGAGAGATGGAACCACTCTGACTGACGCCAGAGTTACAATGGGGGATGCCACGCCAAGCAAACGGGGGGGAGGGGGTGTCGATGCGGGCTCTGGGGCTCCGTGTGTTCCCCCATTGTGGAGTGGCCCCTGGTTTTGCAGCATTGGGTGGCGGATGCAGTGTGCGCACATGTGGGAGCTGCTGATAAGAAAACAGGGTCTGTGCTGGGGTGGGTGGGAGTCACACCTGATTCGCTGAGCTCTGGCTCCATCCTTAACACGTAAAAACTCCCCCTGGCACCATGCTGCCCGGCGCTGCCGTCCACTCCAGCATGGGTTTGGTGGTGCTGAGCTCTTGTCCAGCAGCTGGCTGCAGAGAGAGAGGGAGAAACCCAGTGAGAATGAGGGTCTCTCCTCCCCTCCCCTCTGCAGGGAGGCAGCTGTGCCGATCAGCTGCTGGAGTCGGTTCGGGGAGACCCAAGTTCTTAAAGATCCCACAGGGCAGCCTGTGATGCTTCCCGAGGTCCCCCGAGCTGTGCAGCACCTCACTACCACCCCCACTTAGCGTCAGAAAGCTTCGTCTGTACCTGCTGGGAGGTCACCGGCAACATGAGCGCTCCCTGTTTAGCCCGCTCAGGTTGGCGCCAGCCAACGCCTGCCCCCAGGCTTTCCCGTGGCCAGCCCATCCCCTGATCCACTGGCCCCTCGCAGAATTCACAGATCTGCCGGTCCCAAAGAAACAGCACCCCTGGCGTACCAGCTTCACCTCCAATCGCTGCTTCACTTCCAACCCTGGGAGATTTGCAGGGTGGCTGTAGCATGTTGGTCTCAGGCTATTAGAGAGATGTCTTTATTGGACCAACATCTGTTGGAGAAAGAGACCAGCCCTTAGGTATGTTTGGAGTGAAATCAAGGATCAATTTACGTAGCAGATGCAAGTAGAGCAGAAGTCTTGGAAACCACTGGTTACGGGTAAAATAAAACCGTAACCTGCCTGCTAGACTGAACTAACAAGGTACAGTGTTATCTATCTGACTTTGAGTGAGCTAAACTCCAGGCTGGATTGGCCGTGATCCCTTTGTAATAGCACCAGATGCACATGTAGCTGCTTAAATATCATCCTTACGTACCTCTCGCGCCGCTTAGGACGACCAATGTGTTACTGCTCTCAGTAGAGACCTTCCTTTGCCACCTCTCACGTTGACTTCAGACTTCAGACTGCCAGTTGGCCTCAAGGGGTCCCTGGGTCCCAAGGGCTCTCTTGGTTCATTCTGTAGACAGGCTCGGTGGGGCACCGGGGATTATGGATCCAGAGCCGGGCTGGGCGGGTTTGCAGTAGGTGCAGCTGCAGAGCTGTGGGCATAATACACCTGTAATGCCTCCTGGGAGGGGAGGCTGTGGGGGAGTAACCTGCACCGATCATTAGTTATTGGGGGGGCCCCCGCCAGGCCTGCTGGGGTGGGGCAAGGCCATAGCCGGAGGTGTCCTTGCTGGGGTGCTCAGCCCCAGGCTGCACAGAAAGGGCTCTGGGGTTCCTCCCCTCAATTTGAAGACACAATTTGGGCCCAGCAGGGACAGGGGTTCTGCTGATATCATCTGGGCTGGCCCTGCTAGGGGCCCAGTGTGGGAAGCACCTCCCTGACTTCCAGCAGCAATGCTCCCTGGTGGGTGTGAGCCTAACTTGGGCTTCTCTTAGCATCTCCTCCACTCAAATCCAGCTGGGATCTGGGTTGCACTGGAGGGGAATCATCAAGGAGCCCAGGGCACTCGAGCCAAAGAGTCCAGCAGGGCAGTGAGGCTAGATCGGGGCCCTAATTTCTTTGTTAAGGCCGGCCCAGGCTGCTCGCTGCCAGGAGAGTTCAACCAACGAGCTCCCAGGGGCCTGGGGAAGCCCAGGAAGCATGGAGGGAAGGGGCCTGGTTCTGACAAGGCTACATCTGATTTACCCCAGGTGTAAGGGAGTGTATCTAGCTCCAGATGCAGCTGATGTCAGGATCGGGCCCACACTGAGGTCAGAATCGGTTTCGGGCTACCCCCCAATCCCTTTGTCAAGCTGTCCTGCAATGGCTCAAGAGCATGATACCAACCTCAGTGCAGACTGTTAGGAACCAGGGCACAGGCCCTGTACTGGTTGTGATTCCATCCTTCGGTCTCACCAACCAACCATCAAGTGTAAACTCCTCAGGTGCTGTAACAGCCTTGATATGGAGTCACAGACAGTCCTCTTGGGTTCTCTGGTCTCTCTCGCCCTGCAGGTGCGCCTACCTGTGTGATAGATGGCCCCTGACACCAAAAATCCCAGCAAAATTCAGGTTACTCCCAGTCCCCAAGGACTAGTCGCTTACCCCAGATCAACTGCACTTTAGATCTCGCACCAAAGACAATGCTTATAGTTTATTACAGGACTGGCTAGCTATAGATTTATTACATGGGAAAAGGAAACGAGCGAGTTCTTTACAAGGTTAAAGCAGGTGAACATACACACACGCAAGCGAGTTCCAATCTTAAATTTTAAAAAGTAATAGCAGTTCCTATAATAAGCAAGCTCTGTGTGTCCTTAGGCTAAGCACTGGGGATCTCTTGCTTATGCCTAGTAATCCTTGCCCCGCCAGAGTCCAAGCCACATAAAGATCCAATTCCTTCTGATTAGGGGTTTTTTATTCCCTTCCCTGCTTCTGCTCTGAGCTGCAGACTCCACTGATGGGAGGAATCCATTTGCAAGTCTCATCTTCACTAGGCGGGGAGGAGAGTAAACAGTATTTTGTCCTCTTTAACTTTCCCCAATAGTCCATCTGGTGTGGCTGGGCCTTCCTTGTTGAGTAGGACATAACGCCTTGAGCTGGAGACCAGCATTTCCCAGTGGTTAAGGTCCCTCTCCTCTCTGGTGATTTACAGAGTCACAGAGGCTTATAATGCGAAGGCTCAAGATATTCCCTTACAGTAGGGGACACTGATGTTATAAGTGAGATGAATGCCGGCAGCAGCTCACAAGCATTCCCGAAAGTAAACACTAAACCCATTCTGATCCTCCTAATGCCTGTTTTATCGATTCTAACACACAGGTGAGCCGGGGTGGTCCCAGCCATGTATTTGTCAGTGTTCAATGGGGACCATGGCAGCATGACTCCCCCAATGCAAACACTTCGTAGGAAGGGGTGTCGCTGACTCTCCTGCATACTCTTCAGCGTCCCTCTGTTCTTGAGAAGGCATCGGCCACTACATTTTCTTTTCCTTGATACAGATTTTTTTCCACGTCATACCCCGGCAGAGCTCAGTCTGGGATTGGTCCCTTTGGCTTGGTTGCAACCATATTAACAGGGAGTGATTGATTAAAACCTTACATTTTCTATTCTACAGTTAAGGTTTAAGTTGCTTAATCGCCCAAGTTGCTTAACCTTCCCTTTCCAGGACAGCATAGTTCTGTTCAGTGGGGGATCGGTTTTTTACAGGCCTCGGTCCCTATCACCCGATCTGCCTTCCCCCTTTTTTTGTAAGATCTATTCTGGGGCCACAGTGTCACTAGAGCCCTTTCCAGTCCTCTGGTAATGATGATCTGTTCCTTGGTCTGCGGGGCAGGCCAATTCCGAATGCTTCTACTTTTAAAAGGTCAGGGCAAGCAAAGCTGCTGCTTGCCCTGTGTCCTCTGTGACATACCCCTGTGGCCTCTCATCTTGCATTTGGACCCTTTGCCAGTGAGGCTGGCTTCTCTAAGCCTCTGCAGTACAGTTCCCCCGTGGCTCAGGTGGTCTTGCCAGGAACCACTAAAAATAGCCAAGTCGTCTACATCGGCCCTGGCAAAGGTCGGCAAACTCTGCAACATCTCCTTGATGAGCCTCTGAAAGGGAACCGCTGCACTGATTAACCCGAAAGGCAGAACCATAAACACCTTTAGGCCAGAGCCCACTATGAGAGCT